TCTCCATCGACAAATATTTGTGCAGGTCGAAAAACTTTTAGGCAGCGAGCAGGGATACATTTTTACCCTCATGTGTGTGTACCAATGGGGCCCCGGTGTGTTTTCTCGTCATAATCGTTGGAGAGATCACGCCCATGAAACGTCAGTCGAGCTGAGTGTTTCGGGATAGTCTGGTCGATGGCCAACGAACCTCCCCCCCCCCCCAACAACAACAATTTTTTTTCACAAGGTGAGCGGCCTTGAACTACGTACAAGTATGTAGTGTTGGATGGGTGTGTGTGTTGCTAATCTACGTAGATACCGTCCTGCGTTTCCCACACATCACCCATTGATCTGGCGGCAGCAGGTGAGTGGGAAAAGTAGCAGGATGCGCTGTATGCACACGCGTCGCTGTTCTTTGCGAACCAACGCGACCTAGGGGGGTGCTTGATCCCTCAAGTTGGATCGGCTTGCTGCCATCAGCGTGCAGTGTGAACAAAGATATCATGCCCGTCTGTCTGTGGGGGCGCGACAACTACCCGCGGCTTGTCTACTGGAGAGTAGTGGAACAGACCATCGCCCCCACTGAGTACTGCTGTTGTAGTGAAGCACTAGCCACGAAGAGCTTCGTCCTGCAGATGTCACGGCCTCGGGACCTTCTTCTCTAACGCGCAGAGGGCGTGGCTGCCAGACGTCGTTCACAATATTTGCCCCAGCAAGCCTGCTGTCAACGAAGCGCTGCCGTGTTGCGACCATCCGCAGCAGAGTCCCAAGCGTCATGGGTGCAGCAGCAGCAAAATCGGTATGGTATATTGCGCCATGACTTTCCCGCTGTTGTGTCTCGCAAACCCAGATGGTGCCGGGACAGTAGATAATTACTTTTCTTTCCCCCTTCGGGCTCTGTCTCTGTGATGACCTACAGTACCTCCCTTCAGCAGTACAGTACAGTAGCAACAATATACTCCAATGTGTAGCATTAGTCAGACACAGCAGTAGACTCCACGCCGCGAGGGTTTAGTTGTTGCCGGCGGCGCGGCGTTTACAAACACGCAAGGTGCATGAGAAGGACGACCCTATAACTCGCTAGTTGAATACTGCGCAGCTCGTCTGAGATACGATTGAAGTCGATTTGTAGTATATGCACCCTGCTGTGTGGCGCTGGCACACTACACGTTTGTACATGGTAGGCTACTGTAGACTATGGCACTGCTGCTGTTGTAAGCCAGAGTCTATAGCCAGAGTCTATAACGTGTGTCAACTGAGATGAGACAGTGCTAGATAGGAAGCTGCTGCCCGTGAATGGGGCGGCTCGCTCTTCAGATGGAACCGTGCCCGTAGATACAGTAGTATTTTTTGTTGTGCTGGGGAGTGCTATTCAACACTATGTAAGGTTGCGGCAGTACATACTGTTGTAGAACATAGTGTAACAGCTCGGCCCTCGGTTGTGACGACAACCTTGCTTCACCCTGTAGCAGACCACAAGGTGTGTGCGTGCCTTGCCCCTACACAATTCTATCCTGCTTATTTTCGTTGTTTCTGTTGCTGTGCGCTATGCTGCTCACACGCACCCATCACTCGGCATTCTGTGCTGAGGTTTCCAACCAAGGACCCACTTACGTACGTACGTAAATCTCACTTTCGCCGAAGCTGGTATCTCACGAGTATTTAATTCATCATCTGGTAGTATTTCTGAGTTTGCACTACGTAATTTATATTAATAAATCTGTGGGGTACCCAACGTAGACTTTACAACAGTTTGTGTAGGGTTCTTATCGGCGCACTTCTTCATGTTGGCGGTTTAATTTTATTGAGACACACAGCTGCCAATTTCTGAAGTGCCGTGTTCTGTTCCCCGCCAAGCAGGAGCCCATATCATTATTGCCTGCTCCGCTGTATTCCCGCCGCCCCCCTCCCCATTTCACGTTTTGGGCATGCAGACGCACTTGACCCCCCCCCCCCCCCCAGCGCTCCGCCCGCCACATACGGGAAGGGATTCCCTCGGCATTGCGTCCCCTTTGTCGCCAATGACCCACTGGAACCGCTTGTCGACACCCATATACCGACGTGCTAGCCTTCGTAGCACACTGACTCGTCGACGCGCCAAACATCCCCACGCTCAACCATTGATTCCCTTGAGATCGACTGCCTCACCCTGCTCGACTTGAACCACTCGTTCTTCTCTAACCGCAAGAACACGCACGACGTTGCCTGCACGTACGGCCGGCGACCAGGAAGAATGTATTCGTACGGCTTCGGTCCCGACTACGCTATCCCCAAGGACGAGAAAGCCACTGAGTCAAGCCGCCCCTTCGGACAAGACGTGCACCTTCCCGAGTCACCGTTTTCGGCCAACGACAAGGACGACACCGGGCATCCTTCTCCTCGAGTTGGCCGCTCAAGCTCATCGTCGTTCGCATCGGGCGCACAAGGTTCGTCGTTGTTAGTGTTGTTGTCGTTATTGTTGTTGACGCTGTTGTTATTGTTGTCGTAGTCTTTTTGTTGTTCTTGTTGCTTTCTCTCACGTAATACTCATGGTCGAAGCCAGGGGGTCTGTACCAGTTTCCCTGTGGCGTCGACGTAGATCTCGTAGATTGTTCGACCTCTTCCCCGGAGTCGTAAATAGTTTTGTAGCATTGCTTTGCCGAGGGACGTTAGAAGGCACTTCTAGTGCCGAGTACAAGTAGGTCATTGCGACACTACTCACTTTTCGCGTGGCACTTTAAGGCCCTGGCTTTACAGCTGGGTGCCCCACTAACAAACCATGGCCACTCTGCCGTATCTTCGTTGGACGAATTGCCAGCTCTGACCCTCAGCAGATTGAAGGTTGCAGTTTGGCGTGACACGCTTTGAGACCATGGGTCTAATGTCCTATCGTCTCGGCTGGACGCGGTAGCATTCTTATGTACAGTAGCACCTCCACAACGTTGCTGTCACACAACGCCGCCTTACGCCTAACCACCTCTTGACTCCAGCCAACCAAGTGGCTACCGGCAAGCGTTCCAGGTAAGCGAGGCATCCGTACCTCACTATCCTGTACCCTCGTAGTACTTACATTGGCAAACACGGGGCCTGATCACCGAAATAGGCCTCACTGCCCTCCTTCCTTACGTTGACATGCTGGTGTATTGTTTACAAACTGCTGTTAACTCACCACCGCAACCTAACCCCGCAGGCCCAGAGCCTGCCAACACAAGCCCTTTGCATACCCCGCGCCCTCAACCCGCTCTCACCCCTCGGCACGCCTCGGCAACCGCGTGAAGGGTACGCACTAACCCTGACTACGTGCGATGGGCTCAGAACCCGACAGGTGCTAGGGACGACTGTCTTTATCTCAATTGTGATGCGTGGTCAATGGTGTGGACGAAAAAAGACGGCGCGAGTACAGAGTATTGTGCCCTTGCCCCCCCCTCCCTCGTGCTGGCACACCAGCGGAAGCCTCTTCTGAGTGATCCATGGCTGCAACATGTGCATTCGTGCTTGACGAGTGATCCCCCCCTTCCGTTCTTGACGTGCGCCCCGTTCCGTTCAGGTGGCTTAAGGTACACTGCTTGGCCAACGGCCGCCTGCAGCAGCACCGAGGATCGCTACGATTCTTCCGACCCTCTCGACTTTTCCCGCTCCTCTCTCTCTCAAGGAACGTTCCCTAGCAGATTTACCGACCAAAATCCCGACCGCGCCCCTGTTGCGGCGGTGGAGACCTTGGAAGATGCAATTCCCTTGTTTCAGCCAGGGCGGCAAGAACCACAGCAGCAACGACAACCAACGCCAACGCAGCAGCGACAACAGCTAACACAGCAACCGCAGAAGCAACAGTCACAACATCAGCGACAACAGCTACCACAACGTCAGCAGCAGCAGCAGCAACAGCAACAGCCGCAGGGAGAGGATCATCATCAGCAGCAGCAGCAGCAGGAGCAAACACCGCAGCCACGGCCACAGCCGCAGCGACAACAGCTACCACAACGTCAGCAGCCGCAGCAGCAACAGCAGCAGGGGAAGGATCAGCAGCAGCAGCAGCAGCAGCAGCAGCAGAAACCACCGCAGCCACGGCCACAGCCGCAGCGACAACAGCTACCACAATGTCAGCAGCAACCGCAGCAGCAACAGCAGCAGGCGAAGGATCACCAGCAGCAGGCGAAGGATCACCAGCAGCAGCAGCAGCAGCAGCAGCAGGAGGAGGAGCAACCACCGCAGTCACGGCCAAAACACCAGCAACAACAGCTACCACAAAGTCAGCAGCAGCGGCAGCAGCAACAGCATCAGGAGGAGGATCATCATCAGCAGCAGCAGCAGCAGCAGCAGCAGCAGGAGGAGGAGCTACCACCGCAGTCACGGCCAAAACACCCGCGAAAACAGCTACCACAAAGTCAGCAGCAGCGGCAGCTGCAACAGCAGCAGCAGGAGGAGGAGGAGGAAGAGGAGGAGGAGGAGGAAGAGGAGGAGGAAGAGGAAGAAGAGGAAGAGGAGGCGGAGGAGGCGGAGGGGGAGGACGAGGAGGAGGGGGGGGAGCAGGAAGAGGTGGAGGAGGAAGAGGTGGTGGTGGAGGTGGAGGAGGAGGAGGTGGAGGAGGAGGAGGAGGACCAGCACCAGCAACAGAAGCAGCGGAAGCAACCACCGCCGCCACGACCAAAGTCGCAGCGACAACAGCTACGACTACAGCAGCAGCAGCAGCAGCAGAAGCAGCAGCGACCACAGTCACAGAAGCAAGACCAAGGATCACACCCCCAGCGGCAGCAGCAACCACAACAACAGCAGCAACCACCGCAACGCAAGTCGAAGAAATGTGAGCAGGAGATTTGTCCGCGACGATTGTTTGCTGGATTGTTTTATGGTGTTGCTCTTGTTGTGGTTGTTGTTCTTGTTGTTGAAATAATTGTTAGCATCTAGCGATAGGCGACTGGGGGACGGGGGCGGCACCGCCGCCCATGCTGCCGCCTTTGTCGCCTGCCGTGAACCAGCGTTATGGTTTTTCTGTTCTGAGCTATGCCATTTCTGCTTGCTACGAGGGGTGTGGTGAAGCCATGCAGCCGTGTACAGTTCAGGATATCGGAGGAGGGGAAGGGGCTGCCATATTCTTCGTGAGCCCGAGTTGGGTGGCACCGCCATGGTGGCACTGCCTGCCGGCTCTGTGTTGCTGCCCTTTTTATGTCCCCGACGTCGCTTGTATCATACCTACCCATCGCCATCTATCGTACGAGGGTTTCGCATGCTTCGATTATCACGTGGACGTCTGTCTATCGATAGACCCTTCATCGCCTGATGGTGGCCACTTGAAGTCCCGGGCGTTTCGCGCTCGCGTGTCCCGCTTGAGTACCGATCGATAGTTGACTAAGAATCTCGAGCAATGCTCCTCCTTCGCCCGATGAGTCGCCATCGATGTCTGACTGTCTGGGGCTTCCCATGCCTTGTTTTGGCTGTATCCTTGAGGGATGGTACGAATTCCGTGCGTCGACCGCCGCTGTTAGCACGGTAGGTGCCGGTCTTGTCGAAGCACGGTACGGGGGGGGTTGAGATAATGTCACTCACGATACGACACTTTTTACCGCAATCTCCCTCCCTCGATCGACAATTTCCTTGGCTGGCTGTTGGTTGCCTGGTCAGGTGCTAGCCCTGGAGAGTACTGCCAAGTCAAGCACTGCGGCGAACGCCCTTCGTACAGCGATGACGGCTACGAGCCAGCAGTGCGTTGCCGGGATCACAGGACAGACGGAATGCTGCGGGTTCAGCACGACCACAAGACTTGCGGAGCGGAAGGGTGGGCTTCGGTTGTTGCTGCTGCTGTTGTTGTTGTTGGTGGTGGTGGTGGTATTGGCATTGGTATTGGTATTGGTATTGTTGTTGTTGTTGTTGTTGTTGTTGTCGTCGTCGTCGTCAGTATTGTCTTATGGCCGTCGGTATTGTTCGTTTTTCCGCTCCCCCCGCCACTGGTGCTGTTGCTATTGCGGTTGCTGTTGCTATCTGGGCCATGCTTTTTGACTTTGGCAATCACTATCACCGTCGGCCGTCCCGGTCGTAGTTGCAAACGTTAACCTTTCACAAGAAACCCGTACAATCCAGTGTTCGATCTCTGCCTTCCCTACTTGCAAAGGTCGTGCACTTGATACCTCGTTCGCAGGACCAAGTTTATTCCCCGCGTGCACAACACCATAACGAACTTTCCGCCACGTATCCTTTTCCATCCCAGTCGAACACTGGACACGCTCTCTTCCCCCCCCTCTCCCGATATTCTAAGATCGTATCTTTGGTGGTGCTAAATCGGAATCCACTTCCCGATCATCCCCGCCGCCCTATTTTGGGGTACCCTCAACGCCGACTATTCGTGCCCCCGTACCATTCGTTGGCCCCTGGGTGGGACCCCATTCTACAGGTGCACCGAGGAGGCCGACGTGCACTACATGGGCCGGGACGGTCGGATCCACCGGTTCTGCACTCGGCACAAGGAGCCGGTAGTCGTCTTGGAGCAGGCCGTGCAATGCCAGGTACTCCACTGCTGTGGGTTTGGTCGTATCGTAAAGACATGCTACAGTTGCTGCTGCTGCTGCTGCTGCTGCTGCTGCTCCTTTCCGGCCAGTTTCCGGTTGCTGTTATGCAGGAGATAAGCGTTCACGAACTGAGCTGCCCTTTGTTTTTTTACCGTGGAAGCCTGGATGGGTATGTTGTAGATGGAGATCAAAGCGGTGCGTCATCACACCTCTTGTGTGTCGTGTTTCTTTCCCACCTCCCTCACCTCCGTGACCAGCAGCAGCACCGATCAGGCTCAAACATGTTTCGACGTTGGTGTTTGTACCATATTATTCACGTTGGGCTACCCGTGTTGTTCGTTCCTGTTGATTTTCTGCCTTATCTCTGTAAGCGGCACTGTGACCCCCTCCCACTGGAGAGCCTCGTTTGTGTTGTCGATGTTGAACAGTATGTGGTTGAGGTTCAATCTTTTGAGTTGGTTTTGCCCAACGAGTTGAAAGGTTTTTGGGCGATATAGGGCATGAAAGTTAGGCGTACGTAGTGGGAATACAGAGATGGCTGTCAATTGAAATGATGGAGTGTTCCGGTTGACGCCATGCCGATGATGTTGCGATACCCGACCATCCCTCATACGCCACGCGTCTGCTCCTACTACCACTCCGTTGCCGTGACCCCGGGGGTTTGTCTTAACCACCCGTATCGTGGTCGATCTACGGTTTAACGACTCGCGCCATGGGGTCCGCTACCTACCTGGTCGATCTGCGCTCGTTGATCTGGTTGGTTTATTTTCAACAGCACGGCGAATGCGACGGGACTCCGCGGTACGGGGGACACGACGGGCCTCTCACCTTTTGCCGCGCGCACAAGCGAGCGGGCATGTACACCACTCGCGACGGCGTGCTCTACGTGGCGACTCGGGATGGCAGCGGTAAGGGGGAGGGTTCTCGAAAATTTTGACGTTGGCGTCTTCAGATCAACGAATTCTCGTGCGGCTTGTCCCGCTTTTCGTAGCATCAGGCGTGCTTGGCTTGCTCGCTCGTCGCGTCGTTGTTGAGCCCTCGTCGCGTTGCGCACGTGCTTCGGGAGCTCTTCCAACACTCCTGTATCGTTCCTTTTGCGCCTGTCACAACCCGCCCATGGTTCTATTTGAGGTCAGAGGGAGGTGCTTGAGGCAATTCAAGCACCCGTCTCCTTCCTTGCCCCCCCTGCCATGAGTATGTTCGCGGAACACTTGAAAAATTAAACACGCCCTACCTGCGAAGGAATTGACAGCTGCGCGCAAGAGCCCTTTGCGGGAACGCGGTTGTGGCTGATGTCCTTCCAAGGACTCCCGTTATGTGGCTGGCTCTCCACTGCAAAAAAAAAAGCTAAGCGCTTGCAATGAGCTGTGTTTCTCTTTTTTGGTGCCGATGTACCTGGGGACCGAACCCCGCTGTGCTTATGCCGGTGCCCATCATCGCACAGCCTTCAGGAAAGATCCTGGGCCTCCACGTGCTACCGTTAACGGCGACAGGGAGGGGGCGACCGCTGCTGCAGACGCAGCAGCGATCACCACAGGCGGTGAGCCAGAGCCACATGGGGGTCTTGCGAAGTACGGTGCTGCGTCCCAATGTTTCGTACGGACGTCGTGCACGGTTAGCGTGACTCGATTGGCAGCATCGAGGGGCCGTGTTGGTGTTTCGGGAGGAACGCGTACTTCATCCAGACTTTGATTGTGGGTTTTGAAGCACAGCGACGTACGTCCGTGTTTTCTTACAGTTTTGAACTACGCGCTTGAAGCGTAGCGGCGTCAACTATGACTCTTGAAGTATGAGCGGCGTAAGTTCGACACGCACGTCTCGGTATGTCCTTGTCCAACCTCCACCTCCACCGCCCCTTCCTCTGCAGCACAGTACGCGTCACCCCTTTAAGGATCTCTTAATTTGCGAGGCTGTTTTCTCGAGGGGAAACCCAAAAGGGAGCGATTACACGTGATGTAAAGCATGAGGTAAAGTGTACCGGTAGGCTTCTTGACTCTTAGCAGTTGTTCTGACGGTTGCGTTCTTGCTCATCAATTTGTTTGAGCCTGGATTTCTGGACTCCCAACTTCTTAAGCGGGGGGGCGCACTGTACCCTTCGAACCCCCCCCCCCCCCCCCCCCCCCCCCCCCCGAGACCCGCACCCCCCGGCGCGCCCCCCCCCCCACCGC